TCGCAAGTGCGCCTTCCAGAGGAATCAGGGCGCCCATCCCAAACTCAAGTAACTTAATTTGCATTTGTCTCCACAGCCGTTCTTGCCGATCAGCAGGGCCTATCTCCGAGACGAAGCGGAGCCTCCAGTTCGACTCTCCGACCGGAGGATGGGGAAGGCCTCCCTGATTGTATTGTCCAGTTGTACAAAGAAAGCAGTCTTAAGCAGGCTTGATGATGGCACAGGTTGTGGGAGGACTCGAAGGCAATAATTATGACGAGAGGTTATCCTTTTTTCTCTTGTACGTCAACGGCTTCGTCTTCCCGCTGACTCTAGAGAGTTGTTCTGCAATCATACATCTTGAAATGGTCCGAGGCCCCGAAGCCTAAGTCCCTGAAAACCTTACCAGCTTTCCGACCGAACCAACCTCCCTGCAGGGTCTGAGTTGCGAGAGTCCAAACCGGAAGCCTGAACCCCGAACCCCAAAACCCGATGAGGCTGTGCGCCTGATCCGCCTCGCGGCCTTCGCCGCCTGGGAGCCCGGTGTATTTATCGGAGCTACACATTCTACTGCTAGTATAATATATAATAATATACAAGGGTCGCTTTTTTCTGGAAGAGGGCGGGAAACTATACAGGTTTCAAAAGAGTTACTATACACAGTGCTGTAGGAGTGAGGGATTCGGCTTTTCGTTCCTATGTTGACCCTCGCTGGTGGACATCATCCATAGAGTTCCCATTCCGACATTCATCGACATTCCAAAAACCAATGCTCAGCGACCTGAATCGGCCTGGTGTGGCTCCTTCCTCTATGACTCTATGAGCTGAAACCGAAACTAGATAAGCCAATGAACAGCACCCCCAACCGCTGCTCAAGCCTCTAAGCTCCCAAACCCCAAAGCCCCAAAAACTCCAAGCCCTCTCTTCAGGACAACTTTCGAAAGCCCAAGATTTCCCCAATGCTCCGTCCTGGACCATGACGTAAACTAGATGCCTTGGGGGCCATGCTTGCTGCAGCTACAATGGCCATCGCTGGCATTTCTGCAGAACCTGCTTGCCCGGTGCTCGGAAAGTTGGACGGCAAGCAATGCTTTGGTCTGGTTCATGACGAGAATTCTACGAGCATCGAGCTCTGCCGCAGCACCTGCTGTGCTGACGAAGCGTGCGAAGTTTGGCAATACAACCATGAATATGGCTGCTGGCGAGGCTCGCCGCTGGAGTGCAAGTTCTCAGGCCGGCACTTCTGCTTTGAGAGCCGCGGGGAGCAGCTTCGCATGCCCTATGTGCCCGAAGGAAGCCAGCCCCATGCCTACAGAGGGAGCTCGAGAAACTTTGCTGAAACTGCGGCTGTGGACCCCTATGCTGAGTTTGTTGTGGAAGAAGTCAACGGCGCCGCAGGCGAAGTTTACCAGGTGCGACGTGCTGGACCGCGCAAGGACCAGATGATGATTGCAGCGTCGTGCTGGTCCCATACCCGCCATCCTGATTGGTGCTGCCCTCTGCAAGACTCTCCACCCGAGACCCTGTGCTGGACAGTTGAAAGTATCCGGGATCACTGCTGCAACAACGGCATCTCCGCCGATGGAGTGCTTCTGTACAAGGTGTTCCATGACCTGACTGCGTTCATGGGCCCCTCCGAGTTGGAGTATTTCCACACTCTGTGGCTAGAGCCTTCATTACCTTGTCTGTTTGTACCGGGTCTACCTAGAAAACTGAATGAGAGCTGCAACCATGCCCAACACCCAAGGTTCGGAGGTTATCCGATAGACGAGGACGCACTGATGTCCACACGACTCTATTTTCGCGTGGGCATACATCGTCCCGGAGCCATCTGCCACTCAGCAGACTACCGGTCAGATGGGTCGCAGGTCCTTTTGCCACTGGTCTCCCTACTTCTCGCTTCCAGGCAGCCCATGTCGCGCACCTTTCTAAACATCGGAGCCGGAACGTGTGAGTCGCCAGATCCCTTGTATGAACTTCTGGCATCAAACGCAGGTCAGGGCTTCGTTGGCATCGCCGTAGAGGCGAACCAGGCTCGCTTGAAGAAGTGCGTGAAAGTCTTGAACACGACCCCGGCAATGGTGCTGCCGGTATCCCTGACCATGGATCCGATCTCTGCTGCTGAGCAGCTGCGGCCTCATTTGGAGAAGATCTTTGGCCAGTCTCCGAAACCCTGGCCCCTGGATGTGTTGGTCGTAGATGTTGACGGCGTCGATTGTCTCATCATTGAGGAGCTCATGCGGGTGGTCAGGCCAAAGGTTATCCAGCTTGAAATCTTGACCCATATTCCGCCCCCCTTTCGCTTCTCGCAGCAATGGCACATGGACCAGTCTCCGATTTGGGACCAAGACTACGACATGGAAACGTTCATGCCTACTGCCGGATGCTCCTTGAGCTATGCACTGCACAAGTTTCGGCCATTTGGGTATCATCTGCTTCAGCTTGCTAGGCATGATGCGGTTTTTGTGCACAAGTCCATCAGTCGGGTCATTGAGCGAGGTCTGAGAGTGAAGTTTCCTCAGGATGAGTTCCAGTGCTATCGCAATAGCACTCTTTGGCTACAGCGGCCAGCTAGCTTTGTGAGAGAATGGTTCTTTTCGAAGCATCCCTCAACAGTCCTGGCAGACATATGGTCTAACATTTCAGAGTGGAATCAGGAGATCGGCCGTGGAAGCTTGCCGTTCACTTTGGATTTCTAGATGATTCTAGTTACTAGTTGCTTCAGATTTGTCCTTTATTTGCTTAACCATTGCTGACGTGAGGTTAGCTGCTTGAAGGCAGCTAGACCCTGTCGTTCCTCGGTTCGCGAAGACTCACCCGATGGTTTCCCCTGTGTCTGGATGCAGCCGCAACGGCTGAAGTGCACCGAGCAGGAGATGACCTTTTTCGGGGCCCTTGCTTGGTTGTAGACTGTAGTCGGCAACACGGCTGGGACACGGACGACGTTAGCTACCATGCGGTAGACGAAGAGTTTGTCAGAGGAGTCCATATCCCCTTGTAGCCCCTATTATGATTTTGATTGAAGTATATTATTCCCGAGTCCTATTCTAATTGTTAGGGCCCCTGTGTTATGTAGGGTGCGGACGGCGCTGCACGAGTTCCGGGCCCGGCTGGACTTGTTCGATCCTCTTCTAGGTACTCAAGATCCCGATGATTCGTGTTAACACGAAGATGGCATGTTTATTTCGGAAAAATCCTCTCGTATTCTCATGCTGGCATAGCCACGGACCTGGAACCCGCGACTGTTGAGCCATGCAGGAGCCAAAATACCGGATACAGAGGTCAGAGGTCTCAAGCACTTCTACGCAATACCTCATGTTATATTTCATTGCACCCCCCAGCACTATTTAGTCTAATCATTTGCGGCCGTCTATTCTACGTGCGAGGCTTCCGCGCCAGGCAGACAGGAATCGACATAAGCAGCCTTTTTCTTCAAATCCAAGCCCCCAATACTCTTGCAGAAGTGAGTGGCTTGAGGGTTGAAGCTGAGGGGTTCAGGATTGTTGTTGCGCTTTAGGTTTTGAGGGTTTGGGTGTTTCTTGGCATGGGGGTCCAAGTCCTGTCCTAGTTTTCGCGTGCAATGCGGATCCTACGCTTCATTAAGGGAAGACGCTCTGGCTCGCCCCTAAACCCTAAAATCTCTGCCTCATGGGTCCGAAATGTGACGGTCCACAGCCCAACGTCGCCACCGACCCTACAATCTCCGAGGTAGGAATGCCAAAACTCGTCAGCGCTTACAAGCCTATGGGCATGCAGACATTCTGTGTGTATAAATTATGTATCTGTGTGTGCGTGTGTGTGTGTGTGTGTGTGTGCATGCATACACACACATACTCGTACACATGTCCGTAAAGTTCACATACAACAACATGTTTAGTTGAAGCTACACTCCTAAACCCTGGTAGCAGGATCCGAAGCGGCTCTCTACCCTTAAACCAGGCTCCGAAATTCACACTGTGGAAACAAAAGCGATGTGGAGTCTTGCAGGCTGTAGGGCCTCGGGCCCCTTTCCTAAAGTCTGAAACATGCCGGCTTCGCTTTAGCCAAACTGCGTCGTCTTACCAGGAACCTCGCCCGGCTTGTCCCAGTTGTGAGCGCTGAAACCCCGAGAAACCTTAGCAGCGAAAGTCGCAACGCCGAAGTTGAACCAGGCGGGAAGCAGTGAAGTGTCCGAGTTGGACCTCTTGCTGCTGCAGCATATGCAAGCCACTCAGGGCTCGCATTTGCAATTGAGGTTTCTGCAGGAATTGGTATAGGCAGCCATGATGCTGTGATACCACGTGCCAGTCTGCTCGAAGAGCGGTTGGATGTTTCAGGGGTCAAGAGTTGCCGTCATTGCGACCGCACTGTGGTCTGCAGTGTTGGCGTTTGCAGTGGTGGCTTCAGCATGTGATGGTGCGAAGCGCTTGGTAATTGGATGACAGCGACAGTACGGCCGACGCCCATCAGGAGTAGGATCCCAATTGGATGTGAGGGAGTCAGGATCAACATCACCATCAGCATAGTTTTCCTCAGCCGGTGTTTCCCAAGCCCGACCAGAGTAAAACCTAAATGTTCAAAGCTCCAGCGCAAGACATGCAAGGAGCAGTCTAAAGTCTACAGGTAAAAGCTTTCCCCGTTGAATTCCTCACTCCTGCAAGTCCCAAAGTCCAAGCCCGGCAATCAAGCCCAAACCTCAATCTCATTCTCCAAAAGTTGTCCTTTCCCTGCCTTCAGATCCTTCAGGTGTTGGGATAAGGAGCCATCCCAGGCCTGATGGTTCGAACGGGCAGACAGTCTCCCAGTCGGCTTCCAGGATGCGAGGTATTTCGGGAGTTTGAGTGACGAAAGGATCCGGCGACTCCTCTGCTTGAAGGCTTGCAGGTGGCTTGCTGTTTAGGGAAGCTCGAGCGCCGCATCCTTCGTTCGAAGCACCTGAGTTTCATGGGTCAATGAGTTCGCCCCTAGAGCCCTCCTACCACAAGAACGTCAGATCTACATGCTGAAACATCTTTGCCGCAGTAAACTGCACGAGTCTCAAGATGATCTTTTTGGGCCTGTGTCGCGGTGCACCATCTCGATGCAGCATCTCCGCTTTAATCAGACCACAGCTGATCATCCAGTCGCCGTGTGGCCGCCGCTGCTTCGTTCTGCCTGCTTCACAGTTTCAGCACATCATTGACGATGTGGGGCTCTCAAGCTTGCCATATGCGGGCGACCCTTTGGCCCTGACTAGCCCATCCAGACGGGGCAAGCTTTTGGAATCACTTGTCAGGGACGTTCTCGGGCAAACTCCTCCCACAGACAGCGATGCGGACGCAAGCTCCATTGGATGTTGTGTCAATGGGAGGCGCAAAGGTCGCCATCAAGCCGAATGGGATTTGACTGTCAGGGGCAGGAAAGTCGAGGTAAAGGCTTCTTCACTTTCTTTCGACGTACGCCAATCAACTTGGCGAGTATGTTTTACAAACGTGAAATTCGCACGAGACGGATACAGGGACTTCCAACACTTCGACGATCTGTACCTGGTTATTTACTCACCATCTGGCTTTCACATCTTGCTGCATGATCATCGGACGGGAGTTTCAACAGCCGGTGTCCAAACGCGAATTCGGGGCCACGACGTCGTGGTACGCGGATCGCGCAACGAAACATGGACTGACGCCTTGTCGACCATTTTGCGCAAGATGTTGCAAGACGGGCAATGCAAGCTGGTTGCCCATGTGAGTATGAAGGAGCGAAGGGCCCAGGCGCTTTACGCGAGGCTTCGTCAGGAAAGCACCGCAGCTTTTGAGAGCGTTTATTGCAACATCCCGCTGGGCAGGATGAACCCAGTGATTCGAGGGCATCGGATTCAGCAAATCGGCCTGGAAATTGATCGATTGCGAAGTCCCTCGGCGCACTTCGTGATGCCCACCGACGAAATAACGAAGAGCGGCATCAGGCGAGGAAGAAACAACGCGTCGGTCGACTGGGTTAGAGATGATGTCAAGGTCGAACTGAAGCACGCCAAGGTGAGATACCACCCGCGTGACGGGTGGTTGGTTGTCTTCTCAGGCATCAAAGCAGGTACGGCCGACAGGCAGCAGACGCGACAGTTTGACGAACTGTGGCTGGCCATGTACAGCCCATGCGGCCTGCACTTCCTAAAGCATCCACCATGCTATGATTCTCTTTCTAGCACAGGGTTGAGGACGGAGGTGGACGGTCGGCAGCTTGTTGTTTTCGGATCACGTGGTGCACATGTATCAGATGCGGTCGAGGGAATAAAGTTGAAGCTGTATGCCCGCGGCTGCACATCGCTAGCCACAGTTCGGTGGCAGTGATGACCATGTCCTGCTGCAAGAGCGAGAGCAAAGAAGATCATGGTTGGTGCAATCTGCAGACAGTGCCAAATCCGCCAGGGCTGAATCTGCCAATCCGCTGACAAAGGGTTGCACATGTCCAGGCCGGCGAGGTTCGGGTATGGCTCCTGGAGCGGATGCGCACCTGGGCTTCGAAACTTGCGGGAATGCAAGGACTTCGAGACATGTTCGAGGGCATTTCCATTTTCGGTGGGCTGTGGGATGCTGAACTTTCTGTTTCGATGTTGATGGCTTCCGTATCTTCAACCTCAGCAGCTTTGGCTTGGGATATCGGGGCGACTCGGTGGGCATGAGTCTTCGGGGCATGCTGCCCGGAGAAAGGAGTTCGGAAAATTGCATTAACAGCTTCGGCTTGGGGATGAAGGCTCCACGGTCTGCATAGGCTGGGATGCGATTGGCGGATCCGCATGAGCCACGAGTATAGTGTCCGGGTGGGATGAGTTGTTGCCGCTCGGATGTGTCAGAAGACGTAGGATCGAATTTCGATGATGCCAATGCGGCACCTTTTCAACCTTACCATTTGCTATTGCAGAGTTTAGGACTTGTCTGTAGCAGGATGCCATATTCGTCAAAGCTGCCTGTACTACTCAGGCAATGCGCACAACGACGACAGCGAAAAGGACGTCGTAGATCAGGTGTGGCTAGGGCCTAGGGCATGCTAGGGCAAAACTGGCGGGTGTATGTGTCAATTTCTAGCTTGTGTGGACGGGTTATGTTGGGCTTGCGAATATTCTGTTGCCTTTGTGTTCCGTTTTTGCCTTGGCCAGTACTGAGCTGGATTGCCCAAGTGCTACATCAAACGAACGGGGCTGCCAGTGCGACATATTGAGACCTGGTCCTCGCAAAGTCTTGTGTGACTCTTGTGTGTATGCAAGAACTGTCTGTGAGAGTGCTGTGGGTGGGGTTGACGTTCTTAGATTCCAAGAGCCCGCACTCTTTAACGAGAAATGGTCGCAGTCATCATCAGATGTTCACGAAGATTCACTGAGGATGCCAGCCACATGTCGCCCAGCAGGATCCAGCCCGAGCATAGTTTGAAGGCGAAATCAAAAGACACCTTCAGCTGAACTTTACGTGGCATGCATTTGTCGCCCCCGACAGCCTGGCAATCTCGGAGCACTGTCTCTCACATAGCCTCTCCCGCCCCCTCCCCTCCCTGCTCCCGAAACCCCACTGTGGAGTTGAAACCCGACTTGCCAACCTTCACGATAGCGAAACTTGCTTCCGCCGGCGTGTCGCCATGGATGTGCCGCCGGTCGCAGCGGAGGCATCGGCTTCCTCATCCTCGCGCAAGCGGCCAGAGGAAGTGATTGTGGCGTTTATTCGTGCTGCGTGGTCGTTGTTCTGTTACAGCTCGTCGGGATGATGGGCACTTAGAGTAGATGTACAAAGACCGGGTTTTTGCGTGTTGGCCTGCTTGCTCCTGGCACTCTTGTCATGCTTTGGAATGCATGCCTTAAGAGAGTGCTTGCTGTTCCATTCCAGAACCCTTTGTTTAGAGCCAGTCGTTGGAAGCGGGCCAGGCATTATGGAATCGCACAGCTCGTTTGACTGGTTGGCTTCAGGAGTCAGCCGTACGTAGTGTCACCCCGCGGGCCCACATCAAGGGCCGAGGCTTTGTCCAACCCTAAACGCTTAAGCCACAAACATTTCCACTTGTACATGCCTACAAGGAAAGTACGACCTTCGTCGGCTTTCGAATTGTTCTGGAAGCCCTGAGCCCGAACCCTGAACCCTGCCAACTACTCCCGGCGGAGAGAAGAAGAGAACAAGAAAAAAAGAAGAAGAAAGAAATACAATAATAAAAGAAAAACAAAAAGGAACGAACAAAAACGAAAAATGAAAACATAAAAACAACAACAAAAATACAAAAAATCAAACACAAGAAAAAAATACAAGAAAGAGGAAAAGGACATAACAAAACAAGAGAAATACAAACTAACAAACATACAGAAAATAATAATAAGAAGCTACAAAAGAGAAGAACAGATAATACCACAAAAGCCAGAAACAGCAACAAAAAGAGAAGAGATAACCACAAAATAACAAAGAAAAACCTAGTAGAAAATACAAAAACAAAAAGGGAGAACAAACAAGAACGATAAATATAATAAACAAGGAACAGAAAAATAAAATAAGAAGAACGAAGAGATACGAATAATAACACGAGAAAAACGGGGGAAAACACGAGAAAAGCGAAAGAAACACACACACACACACATGAACACACAATAAGAAAGGAACAATAAACAAAAACAAAAAGCAAAGACCGATAAACAAAGATCATATAAAACAACAAAACAAGTAAGACAAACTAAAAAAATAATGAGGCGAGAAAAAGACAAAAACAAAGAACAACAAAACATAGATAATAAACTAATATAAGTAAAAAATAACTGTAAAACACCCACGAAAATGGAAAATAATATACACAACTAAAATAAAAGAAAAACACAGATACACAACGAAGAAGAAAACATAAAAACAAAAAGGGACAAGTAATAATAATAAATGCAAGAAAGAACGAACAGGAAAACAACTATATAATCAATGGAAAAGAAAAACAAGAAAACAACAACAACAAAAAGCATAACTAACAAACAAAAGTGAAACAAAAAGGGAATCACACCGAGAAGAGAAATAAGAGAACAAAAAAAGTAAAGAAAGGAACAAACTAAAGAGTACACAAAACAAGAACAATAAGAGAGAAACAAGAAACAACAATAACACAATAATGACAAGAACAGAAAACAACAACAACGGTCTGGTTGAAAGGCTTGGAAAGGAACTTACTGATCACTGCAAACATGAGACAAGTAGCAGTACTGAGTTGTAATTAACATGCCCTGCCTGTAAATCTGAAGCAGACCTCGCCGTGAGCATAGTTTCTCAACAAAGCGAGAGGGAAAAAACTCCCGCTGGGAGGAGACGCACGAAGGCGACCGGCCATCGAAGCGCAGAAGGCATCTTTCGGGGGAGGGATTCACAGTTGTAGGGTGTGTAAGTTGGGGCTTGAGTGTTTTATGGATGCCGGGACTTAAGGCAGCAAGGTCCTGGATAACCTAAGAAGGCAGGCCGAGTGGAAAAGTGTAAGCAAGGACATGCAGGAATGTGTGTCAGTGCCCCAAAGTTTTTTCGATTACCACTTCAGCATGAACGTAGTGAGTTGAAGGAAAGTTCAGGACTGCGAAGGGTGCTACTGAACCGCTGAGTCAGGCGGTATAAATCCCAGACACCATAGTCCAAACCTCACAATCCCGTTGGCCCAAGCCCTGAACCGAAAGTTTTCTACAACCTGAATCCTCTGTGCTTGCAGGCCTTAGGTTCTTCTTGATGTTTCGGAGAAGCTCACTTGATGAGGCTCAGTCAGGCTTCCATCCTTTGCATGCGAGAGCTCTTCCGCACCGTCGTCAACGACGGTGACATTTCTGAGGAGGGCGGGGTCCCGATTGGAGCAGCTGCATTTTCACATTGCTGTAGTTGTTACCGCCACTTAAGGGTTCAGGTCTCTGCTAAGCGTGCAGATGCTGAGATTCGGGACCCTGCACAGCGATCTTTGCCAATGCCGGTGGTATCCTGTGGTTCAAAAGCCCAGCCTGCGCACCTCCCTAAACCCTAGTCAGCGAAGCGGGTGGAAAAAATCCCTATCAAACAGATCGGAGGACAAGCGCATCCTCCTGCAAAATGCAGGCGTGCTTCTCTCCCAGGCCAGGTCTTAAGAACGATGACTATGAATAACCCCCCCTTGAGTAGAAGCCCTTGTCACCTTCGCCTTTGAAATTTCTTTCTTCAAGTCTAAAAGTTGTAAAGCAAGGAAAAGGGAGCCTTTGATTATTCTGGGTATACTGGTGAATCTTGAATGTCGAGAGTCCGGAATGTGCAGCAGCCTGACTCAAACCGACGCTCGAGCATGGCCCGAAACCTTAAACCTCAAAGCCGTTTCACTTTGCCGGGATTGTCCGAGTGTGAGCGCCGAAACCTCGTTTGGCTGAATCCGAGTTGCTAGAGCATAAAGCCTGAACCACCCTTAGCCCTAAACCACCATCGACCCTAAACCACCCTGAAGTAACCCTAAAGTCCAAAACCTGAAGCTGAGCTTGGAGGTGGATGGGAAGACTTGGGTCAGCTTCCCGGACAATCAGGGCGAACTCAAGGTGCAACGTTACATTGTAGGAGGGTGCTTGTACTTGGGACCAACAGACGCACCTCAGCATGTGGGCTTTAGGGTTTAGAGCTCAGGGTCGGGATGCTACCTTTGGGGCACAGGGGGTCCATACACTGGGATTCCGGAAAATGCTTATCTTCTTGTGCTAAAAAGTTCTTGTGGTCCTGTGGGGTTTTGGGCAGATAAAGGGGAAGCAGATGCAAGGGAAGATGCGGCTTCTAGCGATGAGTAGGAGGCTGGGGGTTCATGGTTTCAGATGAGCGGCTTGGAGTTCATCGCATTCTATGTGTCATCCACGCATCTTCCTCAAATTGCAGTCATCTCGCCCAGATTGCAGCTCGGAGACGCGTTCAGAAAGTCAGACTTGCAGCCCGAAGCCCAAAACATCCCCAAACCCTGCTAAAGCGTCAGTCCGAACATGTTGCCCTAACCAACAACTCAAACTCGAAACCCGAAGTGCTCTCCAAGGCCCAACAGTTAACGCATGCATTGCTTTAACCTCTGAGGTATCTTCAAAAGATAAAAGACTCGACTAAAGCAGGCCAAAAAACAAAACATGTCAAAGAGGCCAGGAGCAAGAACCACAACAAGAAAACCAAAAATCATAACCCCACACAAAAAATAGGCGCCCGCCCCTGAGGCTCGTGTTTTGGTTGTTTTCAGTTGTTTCTTGCTGTTTTCCCAATTACAAAGCAAAAACAAAACACAAACGACACAACAATGACATAAACATATAACAGGAAAAACAAATAGAAAGGGACACATACACGGTGAGGAAACACACCATAAAACAAACGCAAGCAACAACCTCCCACGCCTATCTGTCATGTTTTTTTGTTTTTGTTTCTGGCGTTCTCTTTGTTTTTTTTATATGTTTCCTGGATTTCCAGAAGTTACAGTGTTTTCCATGTCTTAACCCTACACTTACAGGACCTAAGCTCGCAAACTCGCAGTTCGGAAATTCAGATTCGAGCCTCCCCAGAGCCCACGGCAGGACATCAACAACGCATCTAGCGACCACGCGGGTTTCAGCTACCTCTGCCCAAAGCACATAGGCTAGGCCTAGTGATGAGGGATGGCAGTAGCCACAAGAACCACCACCATCATCATCATCATCATCTGCATGGTCATTGTCATGTGCTATCACCATAACTATGGTAGTCATGCTCTAGTCAAAACATTGTGCCACGGGGACCTTGATGCATTCCTTGAGCCTTGTGACCAACAGGAGCTTTCATCACAGCAGCTGTCAAAGCTGCGGCCCTTTCTGGGCGATGTGGCGGAGGACACGAGTGTAACTGGTTAACAGGAATCGGCATCTACAGATTGCGGAACCGTGGAATTGAAGGTAGTCCAGTAGGCTGCCGGAGTTTCCTAGTGCCTTGTGCCATGGCTCACATGGGAGACCTGGTTTTGCCAAGTCCACTGTGCGTACAGCTGGCTCGCAGTGTTTAGAGTCTAAAGCGTGCACAAGGAGCTCAAGAAGCAGGAAGCACAACTACTTTGCGATGAGAGTGCAGGCTGGGACAGTTTCCAGGGTGCATTAAAGGAAGGCGAGACCAGCTGTGACGCCGGTGTGACTCTTGTGAAATCCACCGGCTTGAAGAAGAGAGTTTGTAGCACAATAACCAGTCCCCTCTGCACTGTAGGTCCCGAAATCAGTAGAGCACGATCCGACTGTCGGATGTGTAGGCTCAGACCAGTTTGACTGCCTGGAGTTGACGAAAGTCCCCTGGGTGAGCGCCTGAGCACAGGGCTTGGGGTACTAGCACGTCGGTGGCACTACTTGCAGAATCCAACTGTGGCACGATATTTCCGCAGTTTTTACGTTTTTACACGGCTTCTTCATGATCAGTTGCCACGCGTGCTATTGATATAATGTCATGTGTGTCAGAATCGCACTGCTGACTGGATGTTCGTGCACTGGTTCGGGAAGGAGGAGTCAACTCTACAACCGTGAACCCCGGACCTGAACCTTTACCCTTTTGCCCGACATCCCGAATGAACCTTATCAGAAGTCTCTACAACCTCCACCCAAAAACGCCAAAGATGACTGCTACGTCCTGCATGTAGCCGTAGCAACCTCCTGAACTTCTTGCCTGGTCGAAAACGCCAAACCCTGACCAGGCCCCAAACCCTCCGCGTTCGAAGACTCCCGCACTAGGATTTAGAGTTTAGGGGTTTAGGGTTCAGGGCCACAGGGGTTTAGGGTTTCGGGCTCGCATTCCAGGCAGATGGCATCACGGCTCGGGAGCTGATTGCCTGTTGCAGCCCAGACGAGGCGCTTCGATATTCGGACACCCCATCGACGTAAGCTGGTGGTTATAGGGTATGCACACCCTTTGGACCGATGGAAACATTTCCTTTCGTACAGCATGGTAGCAGTTGCAGCATTTGTTCAGTGAGATCCTTAATGTGTTTAGCGGCATGTTGATTTTCGCAGACTCTGCATCCTGTCCTTTGCATTTTAATGTATGCGTGCAGATGTACCCACGAGTGTGCGCAAAAAGCATGCCAAGCTGAACGCAAGATCAAGCATTGGGCATGGGGGAGTGACACTGACTTAAACTTGTATACAGAAACACAACGCAGGAGCTGCAGTTCTCAACCCGCCGACGATGGCTGGAGGCCCGGATCCAAGAACGTAGGCTTCTTGAGATCCTAGGCGAGAGAAGCACAGACACGCTGGCTACTGCGGAAGCAGCTGCGCGGATGTCCAAGCAAATAGTAAGCAAGTATCATCAGCGCTCAGGCTGCTGAAGCTCGAACAGCCGCACAGCAACAGAAGTTGAAACGGTCGGATAATTGGAACTGGCATCCGGAGGGAGATGAGAAGAAGTTCTGCCCAGCCAGCAGAAGGATAAAGCAGGACCTCCGAGTTGCGATGGTCTGCAATCCGGAACCTTGTCGCGATCAAAGCCTTCTGCCGTTCCTGCCCAGCAGGACAAGCCCTTGGAACGCAGCAGGCAACAACAGCTAAAGGTTTCAAGGAGAGTATTCCCAAGGTATGACGCGAATCTTCCGCGGCAGGTGGTCATTCGAGTGCTGCCCTCGAAGTACATGATCAAGTCGCGGGTGCGCGAGCTGCCGCTTGGCATGCTACGGTTTGGGGCCTAGGGATTTGATTGATTAGCAGAGTCTGGGTTCAAAAAAAGGGATTTGATTGAAGGTTTGAGGTTTGTAGGGGTTTACAGTTGAGCACGGGTTTGGAATCGAGGTTTCTCTTCGTCGGGCCAGCCTGCCTTTGATCGTTTACTTCTCGCAGTCGAACCGGCACGAGCCTTTAGAGTCGGCCAACCTCGGTCTCGACATCCCGTTATGTTTCAGCAGCGAAGCAAGAGTCAGCTATTCCTTCGACCCGACGCGTGGAAAGGCTGAACTACTACTACCTGCAGGGCCTCACGCCTCAGGCACCCGATTCTGGGATTTGGGGCCCAGCCAGGTTAGATTGGGGTGAGTGATGCTGATTCCAACCTGAAGCTCGTCACCTGAACCGTCCGAGTCTGAGCATGAGACTCACTGTTCACGTGAAACAGCCGGGTGAGGCCGGTGGAAGTTGGGCGCCCAAACTGATGGGCTCTAAAAGGAACTAGTAACCCTGAGCCCGATCTAGTTTGTGCAGCCTAGGCCCCACATTCCAAGAGCCCACAAAGCTCCCATAAAAGCCTTCCCCATACATGGCCTCCGAAACCCAGAAACACAGCCTGCACCCTAGAGGCCACCTCGCCTGCAAAGGGGGGCAGGGCGCCCGGGCGTTTTTCCCGCTGCCTCGAGGCGGGGAGAAACAGGTGCTGGGACTCAATAGTAACAGTAGGGGCCCTTATCGATTAGGACAGGGTTTTGGGGCCTGTAAAATCCAGGCTTCTATATAAAAGGGTTGAATAGGCTCAGGATGTGAGGCTGGTTGTGCCCATGGCCCGAAGCTGCAAGGTTTGCTGGTAGCCTGCACCGTCAAGCATGGGAGGTGATAGAGCACAACAGAACGCGGCTGCGGCGTTTCAAAAACATAGTTACGCCCAGCAGGATGTTGAGCATGAAACTGCTCTGCGGATGGTCCGAAACTCGAAGTTAAAGCTCTTTCTGGGGTCGATTTGGGATTCGTCCTCCGGCACGAAGTCCGAGCCCAAGCGACAACACTCAGTTCAAGATCCGACGACTCGCCGCAAAAATCCAAAGTGAACTCCAATCCCCAAGCCTGCAAACTCAGATGTTCTACCGACCTTCCTACAAACCTAGCCCAAGCCGTAAACCCCTGAAGCCGCAGGCGCTTCCTGGCGCGGAAAGCGCCGCTGCAGCAGCCGCAGCGGGGGGCGCAGCGCTTCGCAGGGCCTGGCGGTGCAGTCCGGCCCTTGGTGGGCTCTGGTGCGTGCAGATTGCAGGTCTGTGGCAGCCTATCATCGCGGGAGAAAGCAGAAACCGCAACCACCGCCAGCACCCAGCAACAGCGACGACTACCCGCGCTTCTACTGAGCGGCGGTTCGGGAATGTTTCAGGAAGTCCTTCTTCAGATGGTAGCCCGGGCTGAGAAACCCTGGAACACCGGAAATAACACCTATGCAATCCTAAATCCACAACCCTCAGCCCTGAACCTGCAATCGTTTCATTCGCAGACCAGGTCGGGCTGCGGCTGGCGTCGTCTCCGCTTTTGCAGCCTGGCAGTACATCATGTCGTGGTCGTCATGTGAACTTCGGGGGACAAGACAGCAATTTCAACAGGGAATGGAACTCAGAAAGGTAGCGGCTGCCGTTGTGGGCATTGCAGCTGCGCTGGCTGCAGGTGCCTCGCGGATGCCTCACGGCTGCATTGGCTTGCCAGTGACTGCCGAGACACTGCAGCTGTCCGAAAGCATGTGCCTAAAGAGAAGCAGGAGGTGTGATTTTGTGGCGTGTGATATCTGGACTCTGATCTCCAGGATGAATTTGCTGCCCTTCGGCGCCTCGGACCTCCTATAGCCGACAGTCCGTGCATCGGAGAACTCAGGTGGCGGAGATGTTGGCATGCAGATGTCGCAGCTTGTAGACCCTCTCAGATACTATACCCTAAGCATCCTTGAATGCGTGGAGCCTTGCCTGCCTCTTGCTAGTGCGAGAGTCAAAACCTCCTTAAACCCAGAACATCCGACATCTTTAAGGCATGCACTCCGGGGCCACAGTACCCCCAACCATGAGCTATCGATCGGAGCTCCGCACTGAACACACGCACGTCTCCAAGTCAAAAGAATGCCGCTGGCGACCATGTCAACTTATCTTCCTGATAGCAGAGCACAGATGACAGCATGTAGAATGCAGAATGCAGAGTCGCAAGGGGTGTGGGCAGTCCTAGAAACCTATAAAGGTGAAACCTCCAAGCCTTTGCCAACACTGGGGTCGACCAATTGACAGGGACCTGCCATGCCAGTCGATGCCAAGCTGTAAAGTATGACAACTGTAAAAGCTTCAGATAACCTTGATGCTTGTTCGTGTCATGCAAGTCGTAAAATTTCAGTGCGCTAAAAGGGTTCAGGATTTCAGAAAAAAAGCCTTGAGATCAGCGATCGAAGGTGTTTCTTGCACAGGTTTATGACTGGGCCATTGTGATGGAGCGAAACCTCATGGTCCATGACTAGATCAGCAGCCATTGCAAAGTGTCTTGCACCCCACGCTGCGGCTCCGATATCAGAATCCGAACCCGAACTAAGCACAGCCGCTCTTATCGTGCTTGTGATTCCCGGTGCTGTGAGCTCCAAATGTGTAAGGCAACGATCCCATCTGGCCGTTGGTGAGGCACGGGGGGCTCTCGCTTCGGGGAAGCCTTGGCGTTGGAGCTGATGTTACTAGCTGGGTTGAAAGCTTTGATTGCTGCCTTGGCTGGAGATGGAGATCGTCGGCAGGTTGGAATCTTGGAAGTCATGTAGAAGCTTGTCGGGTTTTTTTATTCTAATCGTCTAGACAGCTCCATCGAGGTTTCGAGGCGTTCGAGGTTTGAGTGAACAGTTGATGCATATGGGATTTCGCAAACGTGGCTTACCTGACATCTAGCCGCTAGCCAGATCTCGTCGAAGCGTACGCGCATGTGAACGCCCACGATGCCACCTGCACCAGCGAACCAAAGCGCTGCAAAAGAAGCTCGTGGCGCGTCGACAGCTCTGGTTGCCAGGCTTTTCGTGGCCGTTCTGCTCCAAGGCTCCTCGCGGACCGAAATTTCAAGCTTGAGTGAGGAGACCTGTAGGGTTTACATGGTGTAGAGTGTAGAGGGGCTTAAAGGGATCCACGCCCGAGCCACAGGCCAAGTGAAGAACTTCCTTGGCATGATTGTGCTGATCGCCAGACTGCGTGCCTCTGCGGCGCTGAGTGGAGCCTGAAGGGCACCGGAAGCATGTCAAATGTACTACTGAGTCAGGATACTCCGTTTCGCAAGGTCGCTTCAGTACCCAGAAAGCACTCGGTGTCAGATGGAAGCTGCGTAGCCGTAGCGGTATTTTTGATAGTCGTCGTCGTGGCTGCAGCATCGGTGCAGTAGCAGCAGCAGTGGCGGTACTCGTAGCTGTAGGTAGAAGCAGCAGCAGCAGGAGCAGCAGCAGCAGCAGCAGTAGTAGTAGTAGGAGTAGTAGTAGGAGTAGGAGTAGGAGTAGGAGTAGGAGTAGGAGTAGGAGTAGTAGTAGTAGTAATCAAAGGAGGTGAAGGAAGATCAGCAATCGAGGCACGGGAGCATAGGCAATCCAAGTATAGGGCCCCCGCTGGGCGTTTCTTCTGGGCTGAGGTGTTGTTCTGTGTCTCGCCCGCTGCAACGATGTCTTCGGATACTTGCTCCTTGGCAGCTTCCGGAGGACGGGACCCCAGACCCCGAGCCATGCGGAGCCTTGCCGGCCTTGTGCGAGTGTGAGAGTCGAAGCCCCAAGCCCGATATCCCGAACCCTGCACCCATAGCCCGCTTGATAAAGCCTGCTAATGATTCTAACGTAGACTTGCCATTGAGACCCTTAACGACAGCACAGTCTTGACCAGGGGTTTACATTGACATGAAATTCCCCCCTAAGCCCTAAACTCCTAAACTAAGCTACAAACTGAGGTTCTACCCTTTCGTTTTCTTGGCGCAGAAGGTGCTCGGCTGGAACGAAGGCAGCTGGCTCCTGGGATGACTCCTGGCAAAAGACCGACGGATCTCCGGGGCCGGAGGGATTCATACATTGTCTTCCTGAGGTTTCAGCTAGTTTGTAAAGCACGAGTAAGTCGCTCGAAAGACACAAATCGGAGTGTGTGTCTGAGCCGCTACTCGTAGAAGGAGGCTGGCAGATTTCAGAGTCTGACCACGTTTTGTCATCAGAAGCCCTTGCCCTTGCGCCTATGTTCAGCCCCAGCCTGATGCCGCGGCAGGGCAAGTTAAAGTCTGCGGCTCAAAGCTGCCTAGCGCAACCTCCGGTCCGCACCCCCTTTGCAATTAGTACTAGACGAAGCTCGCAGCAATGGCAGCCGTGTGCCCGATCTGCTTCGAAGACGATGGCCGGGCTGTTGAGTATGCCACCATGCACAACCACAGCTGGCGCAACCAGCATTGCGATGCTCATGGCATCTGCTGGAAGTGTTTGAACCGCTATGTGGAGATGCAGATTCTGGAGGAGGGCCGGTTCAACCTCAAGTGTCCCGGAATCGGTTGCAGCTACCGCCTCCTCCCCCTCGATGTGGAGAGGGCCTTGGAGGCATCAGAGCCGGAACGCCAGCAAGCGGCACTGGAGCGCTACGGCAGCATGCGCAGCGCGAGCCATGGGCAGAGGCTTCGGGAAGTCGTCCTTGGAACAGCCGGGCCTTCCGAACGCTGGCTGCTGGAGGAGTGCCAGGCATGTCCTCAGTGCCTCTCATTGGTGCGGCGTGAAGATGGCTGCCTTCACGTCTTCTGCCGCTGCGGCTGCGACTTCTGTGCCGGTTGCGGCAGCCCCAGGGATTGCCTGTGCTCTGAGCTGGACAAGGACCGCGATATCGTCTTTGCAGCATGGCTCCGGATTTCACCGGACTCGCCAGTAGCATGGCTGAGGCATATGCGATGCGAGAGACCGGAGCAGCATCTGCTGACCACTTTGGGCTTCTTTCTTTGGATGGCTTATTTGCCGGTGGATCTACCCTGGACACGTGCCCTGGAAGAGCCAGAGCATTCACTCCCACCGCTGCGCCTGCGATCCGAGCAATCGGAGTACTCCGGGCGTTTCGACGAAGAGCTGGACATGGAACTCCCTCTTGTCTTCCGCTATCCACTAAGCTCTTGGTGGAATTTGGTTGACGGCGACGAAGAGGAGAACTGCTTCCAGCAATACCGGCGTGTGCCCCGGCGGCCCTGGCGTCTCTTCGCCACTCAGCGAGACTCTCGCCGGCAGGACCGACACCACTACATGCCACTACGCTGGAAAGATGTCCGGCCCTGGACAGGGGATGATGCAGCCGCACCCCTTCGTCGCCGAAGGCAGCCGCGGGTCGTGGCGACGGGGGCTCGCTCTGCGGAACACGCGGCGGCTGCTGCTCGCAAGGTCCAGGAGCAGCGCAAGCGCCGGCAGCAAATGCGCAGACGCCTCAGGGAAGAGCTGGTGCATCTCGACTGAGATCGGCTTAATGGGCAGGTTCTGTCGCAAAGGTTATCTTGAAGTGAGCTCCTGTGACTGTCAACTCAGGCCATCCAAACAGTAACAAGGAGATTTTTCTTAGGAGTTGAAGTTGAATGTAGAGAGTTGTGCGGCGGCTCTGCAGCCAACTAATCGGATACCGCGTTTCGGAATGTTTCGGGTTTCTGTTCCTGTGCTTCGATCGAAAGTCCCGGCGCTGTATTCCAGATTCCCATGTGCCAATTTTTGTACAGTGTACAGGTATCTGACCCAATCGGTGCAGAGACGTGTCAGGAGTTTGAATGTCCATGTCCAGCTTATGCCCAAGCAGCCCAAGCAGCCAATTGGCATGCTTTGTACATGTGTACAGCTATTCGACCAAGTGATCGGGCATCCAAGAACAAATCGTGGCCGGAATCCTCACCTGGATTGCCTGGGAGTAAGGTGAGAGTGCAGTCCCAACCCCAAAAAGCGTCCAGAAACAGCGCTTCAGAAAAGAGCAAAAGCCGCCGAGGCTCTTGCGACAGCTCCAAAGGTTTGAGCTTGCTTTCTTGGTGCCGCTTTGGCTGGAATGTGGGAGTTTCAGAACATAAGGGAGCAAGAAGGGGCCAGGAATATGCGGATATCGTATGATCTTCTTTAGAAGGATCCCCAACTATGAGCCCCCAATTTTTGGACCCTCAGGTCCTAGAATCGATGAGCTTTGCAGCATCCATGCAAGAGCTTAGCGGGACACGGCTTCCCCTCGACCGCACACCGATGTGCGCAAAGACTTGGGGCATAGGCAGATCGCACGATCATGTGTTCGTCTTGTCTGCAACAGGCTTCACATGTTCAGAATTTCAGATTGCGGCCCTCGTAGCCGTCGTAGCAGTTCGGATCACGAGGCCACGAGCTTCTTTGCAGGGTTTCGTGTTTGGGCTTTGAGCCCTGCTGCCGTGGAACGGCCAGGTCCCGTGCGAGCTACCGAGTGCCGCTTGGCAGATAGATGAGGACTCCTTGAACCTATGCATACCCTACCTAATCAATCTTCACCCGCCTTTCATGAAAAGCAGAATCGGTGTGTTTTCCAAGACGGTGTGCCAGGAGCAGGTCATTAAAATATGTGTAGAGCACGTGGCAAGAGCGAAGAGTTTTCACAGCTGCATGACTCCTAAGCTCGTGGTTGCCAGATGGGCCCCAAGCAAGACAGCAGACGCAAGGTTCCTCGATCGCAGAGATATGTTTGGGACCTCAACGAAGCTGAGGTTTGTTTGAAGTGTTCACGGCATCTTGTTCGCACTTCAAGACATGATGCTGGACTGCCTGACCACGCTCAGCAAAAGTCTGTGACGCGTGACGCGACAGATCAGGACAGAAGTGCCCTGAGATTGCCAAGCAAGGCCATCCGGTTTCTGCCGGAGTTCACCGGCCTCTCCTGCCTGAGCACTGTAGCTGCATGCCAGCACCCAGCGGGATGCGTGCATCAAGTTTATCGAAGGGGACAGGGCTCAGACTCATGGTATATATGTCAAGACTTTCGAAGCTTCTGGCGCTTTTTGGACCTTCTCCTATGACTTCGCCCTTTGTCTGTGCAGACTTGCGAGGTCGATCCTCTGGTCCATGCAACTCGCTTGCAACGATGGCTGGCAGCGCGTCTCGATGAAACTGCCACACCTTGCGCAAAGGGCTTTCTGTTGCGTTGTAGGTTTTTTAGGTTTGTGGGTGACCAGTCGAGTATGCGCAATCTTACAGCTGCTATCGACTGGTGGTTGTTGTCCCGGCCGCATGTTGGTACAGAATGCAGACAGACCGTGTAGATCTCGGTTAGCGTGTGCATTATAGTCATTATGCCTGCTGGTCTTTGGGAGTTCGGGACATCTTTCATTGTTGAGGGTTCAGAAGTTAAGAAGGCAAGCTGCTTCCACCCAACCCCCCCACCCTGCAGCCGCATGACTGTCGTTGCACAAGCTGTCATCATGCAGTCGTGTCAGGCTTTGCGCTACATGGAGCCCTTCGTGATGTTTGTGAGCGATCTGACTTTCTCAGCAGCACGGCGGAATTTCGGATTCCTACGGCCAGGAGTCGATGCTGAGTGACATGTTTAAGAGTTTAGGGGGTCTAATGAGTCCAATGCAGAAGACCGAAACTGTCCAAATGGTAGTCCCTAGGGTGCCTTATTGTACTTCGTAGTACAGTATAGTATAGCCCGAAAGGACTTGTCTTTCCCACCACCATGGTCTTCAGGCTTAAAGCCTGGGTTTCGAGAACAGGGCATCTGGATGTAATCTGTGTTTCGGGTTGAGCTTGCAGCAGTAAACTCGCGGTGTGCTCCTAGCGGACAAGGATCTGAAACATGTACTCGAATTTCTGAACCCTAAACAGCTGTCCCAGTTGTGAGTGCTGAAACACTAAACCTAAACCTGAGACCACTTGAGAGGCCCTCCCCACTTTACGCGAGCATGTCGAGCTCCGACCGAGGTGGGCTTTGCTGAAGGCCTGGCGATGATCGTCCGCAGCGTCGACCGTCGGGCACATCACAAGTCTCGTGGCTCCTGAAAGCTCTAAACCTGGGTTTGTTCTGTGACGCTTTCTGTTCTTTTGGCATTGGAGGGGTGTTCACTTTACAGCGCTCGAACTTGAGCAAGGCAGCGCCTGTCCGAAGTGCCAAGGAGGGGACAGCAGCTCACTTCGCCCAGCAGGGCTGCTACCTCAGTACTATCGCCCGTAGTAGCATCAGTACTTACAGCGTGGCAGTAGTCTCGTCGACCGTCATCGTCATTATCATCACCACAGCTATGACGGTCACCATGCCACCCTTCTCACTCATGTTCGCGCAAAGGAATGGTCTCGGTCTTCGTTTGAATCAATCTGCATACTTTTAATTCTATTCTGGAAGTCAGAATAGTTACCTATATTATTGTCTGATTTCCTGCACTTGACTAGACTACAGTATACCCCCATAACCCTGTTCTGATTACGTAAAGCACCCATATTGGGCCCGAGCCCAACCAGTCAATGGCGCCTGGAGCAGTCCGAGAGACTGCAAAGGAGACAACCCATCGAATACCAAACCTCGCCGAAAGCCTTGAGCCAGCCCCTGCTACGGGGAAAAAACTCGCCCTCGCGACGAGCTGAGGCTAGTCTGGATGTCCCTGAATGTGGGTCGCATGTTGCGTGAGGGGCCTCCGGCTGCCCTCGCCGCAGCCGCAGCAGAGGCGTGGTGCTGACTGGGCTGGCAACTAAATCTTTGTCAACCCTCGGAAGGCAGAGTCGTATAATACCCCAAAGCGACGGCTCTTGCACGCTGCCTATGCGGTTTGGTGGTGCTTGCGCCCAAAGTGAAAGTGCATGGAAAGGTGATCTAAAATCCCCATGAAACCCTCAGATGGGGATTCAATTAGGGATCATTGGACTCTGTAAGCCGGTCTCCCACACTGGATAGCCCGACATATGACCCACTGACGACATGGCCTGATTATTTGCGTAGTTCAGTTCTTTTGAGATGATGAGGCGCCGCCTCCTGCCCCTCTGCGAGTCGTGGACAGTCCTCAACCGCTTCCAGAGTGGAGCGACGACGGAGTCTTGCTTGATGTGATTGTTAGGGCTTACGCTGTGGAGGCATCTGCATGGAGCCCACACACAAAAGCCCCTAGGAAAGGGGCGCCCACAAGGTGTGTGTGCGTGCGCGTGTGTATATAAATAAATAAATATATATATATATATATATATATATATATATATATGTGTGTGGGTGTGTGTGTGTGTGTGCGTGTGTGTGTGTGTGTGCGTGTGTGTGTGGGTGTGTGGGTGTGTGCGTGTGTGTGCGTGTGTGTGTGTGTGTGTGTTGGTGTGTTTTTGTGTTTGTGTGTGTGTGTTCGTGTGTTTTTTTGTGTGTGTGTGTGTGTTCGTGTGTGTGTGTGTGTGTGTTTGTTTGTGTGTGCGTGTGTGTGTGTGAACCTCCCTAGCACAAGGGGGCACGCAGTTTCATGGGGTTGCAGGGGGGCG